GCTTAAAGTCGCAACTTTCCAGTACCAAGCTGGTATACTGACAAGCGCGGCGCTCAGAAAGTACCTCCCCCTTACAATCGAAGCCGCTTTCGCGGGGGCTTTCGCGGATCTTTCACGAAACTTTCGCGAAAAACCACCCACGTTTCAGAGCGGAAAGGCGCCGAGTAAACACCCACAGGCACAAATACACAGGCTTGGGGCACTAACCAGCCAAGCAGGGTATCAAACTGTAGCCTCACAAGGCTTTTTCGGCGCAAAATCAACAACGTGTTGAAATCATCAACAACAATGGTTTCACATATCATTGATTTAGAAGACACAGTTGCGCAAAACTTTCGCGAGACAAAAAGTTACTTTCGCAACTCCATCGCGAATCTTTCGCGGAGCTACCAGAACCAACACCGATGGTCACCGAATACTAAACTCCTTACAAGGACCTTTAGAACGACTCCCATATATACATTATATCATATACTGGTTTGCATGAGGCTTCCCTTTCAACAACCCATTCGATTTGGTCTGAACACTAAATCCCCCAAAGCGGTCGGGCCCGCGCGGGAAGCTGGGGTGAGAGCTGGATCGAGGAGCTGGGAGCTAACAGCGTGTGAGATTAAACTGAAGCCTAGGAAATGACAAATATGTCGATTCCGACACAATCCACATAGGTCACATGGGTGCGGCTCGAAATCAAAGAGCTAGTGTTGCGCAAGTGTTTGTCCTTCTTTCCATTTGCCAAGGGGCCATTTTGGTACATGTTGTTGAGCCACAGCCATATGAGATCATACTAATGCAACATTTGACTCATTTGGAGGGTAGATGTGAGTAAATGGTGAACACGTGGAGCGCGTGGGATTGTGGCTTCCTTTGTGGACTCTATGTTGTGCAAAGTGTAAAGTGAAAAATTGCCCTCTCTCCAACCTTCGGATCACGCGTATTGGCGGATCTGATTAGCTCCCCACCTTGCCATACTCGAAGATCATGTGCCTCACCCCAAAATGGACCTTCTTCCTTGGTTGTTGTTGACCCCTCTGCAAGAAGTTTGACTTGTTGCGGGTCCAATACGAAATCTACTGTTTCCCAAAAAGGTCAAGTCCAAAAGTTCCAACCAAATAGCCCAAAAGCTGCCTCCAAGTTGGGCAATCCTTCCAAATTGAACATCGCTTTTCTTCCGCCCCAAAGGAACGCTGTCGTCTCCCAAAACCCTGCCAAACCCTCTATAGTGCGGTGTTCATCCTGAAACTGGGGTGGTGGAAAGACCCTGCAAATTAAACACCTAAGGTACAGCCTTCCACCTGCCTACCAGGCTGGTCTGAGCTTTTCGTCGCTGTCCGTTTTTGGGTACCATGTCTTCTTGAACCGGGAGCATTCCCGTGCCATTCACTCACCCAGGAAACGCCAGCCGAGGCAAATGAAAGCGAAGAGTAAGCCCAAAGGAAGCCGCGCCAAAATTTTCTCGAGGCTGCAGCCTTCAGAAGTGACTCCGTGCGGATGGAACTATGAAGTCGAACGACCCCTTGCAACAGATCCCTTCTTGTCAACTTTGAGCCAGTACACAACCCTTTAGGAGCAACGACCGAAGGATGAAGGTTCGTGAGGGCCACCTTACATTTCTTCTCCCATCCCACTTGCCTTCGATGACCGCTGGGGAAAGGTCAAAGAAAGTGGCACCTGACGTGGGGACCCGGTGTGTGTGTGTGTCTGTGCCTACGTAGGCTCTTTGCTTGGAAACGCTGTTGTGGGACTGAAAGCCCGTATGCATACAACAAGGGGTTGCATTCCCCCGCTACTTGTACATCTCTTCCTTGCTTTCCCTGTGTATTAAAGGATGACCAAATAGCGCAACTTGTTTGTGAATGGATGGCGTTTGTTGAGAACCATCTCTTCGTTGCTTTGCTCCCTGCACCACCCTCTTGGTACATAGCGGTGCCCTTTTGTATCAATAAGGAGGGATGGGAATAGACCATGCGCCTGATACTATAAGCATCTATAAGCATGGATTCCTTTATGGAAGTTCGCCCAGACATTAGGAATAGTATACAGGTATGCAAAGCATGGCCTCAAATCATGGCCACTGAAGCCAAGGTGAAGAATATGTTTCCCCCTCAAAGGCATGGACAAATTGCTAGTCTGGTTGGTTCAAAATCAATCCGCAAGATTCTTTTGTCAGATGGGCTATGCCGCGCTTTCCCCTGTAATAGTGGTGTCTCACTACGGATTATGGTACATCGCAAAATCCAGATACCCCTTTTCATGTTGAACGACAGAGCCAGAGGGGAGCGCTCGTTCTTTACTATATTTCATTGTGTTTTTTCTTTTTCTTTTCTTTTTTATGGTGGGTCAACATGGTGCCCTGTCAACCACGGAGTGATGTGATCAACATTGCCAATGGTATGGCCAATGCATGCATGCAAGCAAGCAAACAAGAAGGCAAACAAGCAAGCAAGCAAGCAAGCAAGCAAGCAAGAAAGCAAGAAAGCAAGTAGGCAAGCAAGTAGGCAGGCAAGCAAGCAAGCAAGCAAGCAAGCAAGCAGGCAGGCAGGCAGGCAAGCAAGCAAGCAAGCGAGCAAGCAATGGTGTTACCGATAACTATGCCGTGGTCGAAACTCCCAATGCGTGGGTCATGCTTGCCTTCGGAAGCCTAGATAATCCAAGCCCTGGATCTGGATGCGAAAATCCTGTTCTGTACACCCAGCATGAGGACCAAAGAAGCAAACCAACGAACACCCCGAACAGCCAAGTACAATCTTTGTGTATGACCTGCACTTGTCTCGCTTGAACAAATGGGGTAGGGCTTCTTTTTGGCCGGAATGCTTGCCGTCGCGTTCAGAAAGGCTCTGAACATGTTCTACCCCTGGAAATACTCACTCAGGTTCTTGGTCCGTACTGTGGATGGACGAAATCGCTTCCGCACCACCTGGCAAACCCTTGAATCATGATTCCCCGGGATACCAATAAACAATGGCTTCCCATGGTTTCAAAGTGGTGCAGGATTTTGCCCATCCACAGTATTTTACTGGTTCCTGAAAATACCCACATATTTTACCCGCCTACTTTTGGAGTCCGAGCAAGCCCGGCGCGCCCAGGGCCGAAAAAGCGCCTGTTTTCAAACCCGGAGCCGCATGGAGAAATCGCAGCTGAAGACCATTATGGGAATGCGTGTCCAACCGGCGCAGGACGGACAGGCCTCTCACTTGGCAGTTGACTTGTGGCTGGCTTCTGAAAACTTCACAGCAAACAATCACGTGGCTCCGAATTTCAAAGGGGGCCGAAATGGTGAGTGGACATTGGCTATCTAAATGAGCGATGTTCGCCACAGGGTCCCTAATTGAATTACACCCATGTGACTATGGGTCACAACCTATGGCTCCATTTTGCGGGATGAACATCCATTTGCCACCTATTTTGATGTTCAACAGGGGTACAGGATTTTGACCCACAGCCATGTATCTACGGCCCAGAGTACAATCTCAGATTCCACATAGTTGCCGTGAGCTCAGAGATCCATCCCGGCTGCCGGCCAGAACGCGAAAAGCATACATTTAGAGCCTAGAAGGAAACGCAGCCCCAGAAGGGCCACGGGCTGACGAGTAAAGACTCGTCCTACACCTCACTTTCTGCGGCTCGGGAGAGATCCGAAGAAGTGATAGTTCCCTTCACTTCAATTGGCTGCTTCATCCATGAGGATTATAATAGCAACATATAGTAAAATGCAAGAATTCACAGTTTATGGGTGATCTGCACTCGTTGATTTGGCTTCTCACCCACTTTTCTCAATACGTTTCGCTAGGTCAAAATCCATTCGGTGCATGCCCTCAGGACAGTGAGACTTCGATCGTCCTGGCCGACGGCCAACGTGGGTCAAAATCCAAATCGTACCCCCAGTGAACATCCCAATCCCCACTAAAATAGGTTCTAAACTGGGTGGTGAATTCACCAACCCCAAAATGGTACCATTGGTTTTGACCCACGGCCAATTGGACCTCTCGAGCACCCAAACCTCCGGTAGTTGCAACCAGTTTCCCGAAAGGTAGAAACAAAATCCATATTTGGAACCCGCACACAACTGGAAACTGTCAGGGCCCCTTCGGTAACCCCAATCTGGGACTTAGCTCCCGTGCACAGGGTGAAAGTAGATGGCAGACTGCCCTTTTGTCTGGGGGTGACGGAACCAAAATGTGGGAAGTGTTCCATCCACTTCCACTCCACTGCAATCTCCCTTCTCGAAAAGGGTCTAATCCCCAACCCCTGGATGTGCCCCCCCATGATTTCGGGGCCCACTACAATCAAATTCAATTACTAATTTGAAGACAAATTCGTAAAACAAGAAACAAAAAAACCTAAAAACAAAACTACTCCCAAAGTAAGAGACCTGCATAGAGGAATTTGTGTTACTCCCAGGTGAGCTTCTCACAAAGCAGCCAGATTGCTTGCCTTGTTTCCAACAAAGGGGTCCCCTGGTCCCTTTATTGGATTGGATGCATCCACTTTCACAGCCGGATACCAAACCGCAGGGCACTGCTCAAGGCTTGAAGAAGAGCCATCGCAGCCTTTGGATGGATATGTGCAAGTTTTAACACGACTAGACACGACCCCTCGTTCGTCCCTTGATCCAAAGGGCTCAACATGGCTCAAACGTGGTCCTGCAAAACTCTCTTGAGCTTCATGAGCTCAAGACATACCAGATACACAAAAGGTACGGTATAACCGAAGGGGGGATGCCCCCCAGGGTCGCCTCGGGACGTGGTTCGTCGATTGGATCCGAATGGAAAAGGACACGAAGCCTATGGAGTCGGCTCAAGTCGTTCAACATTCGCTAAGATGCAACGGGCGTATGCGACATATGGTTTCTCTTAAACACCCGAACAATAGAGCTCCTCAATCCGCAAAGCAACACGGAACCCAAGCAGTCCGCAAAAAAACAACACTGCAGCTAAAATGAGTCCTTGTTTGGGGTGTTCATCCCCGCGAGCGACTGCGTCGACGGATCGGATAGATGGCCTTTACTGGGCGTCTGTGATGAGACCCTGGCCGATGGTCTTGCCGCCCTGACCGCGAAAAGGCTGTTCTCAGGTGGATGGAGATGGTAATTCTAGCGGTTGATTCCGATGCCATTCTGTTCAACCATTGTTATTTTTAACAAAACAGCCGTGTTCCCTGGGTTTCCAGAGGTTTTCTAGAAGGATCCCTGGAAAGTATGGGGAAGGTACCCCTGGAGTAGTGTCTTATTTTGACACTCAAAATTATTCCTTGGGGATGTTATGAAAATAAATCGTGCTTGGAGCGCACCAAAACGACTACACAAACTGCAGTCTCAGCGGTGATGGAGATTGATACGTATTCATCCATCACTATGGATTTGTTCTGAAAGCACAACTAGTGCCAGATTGGACATCCTATGCTGCAGATTTAACATAACCCCCCTCCCCCCCACAAAAAACAAAGAAGAAAAAGAAGAAGCAACTTGAGAAGAATCTCAAGCAACACCGGGCCCCAGTGTGCGGGTTTCCCCCATTTGAAGACAAACCCACAACTGCTCACATAGATACGGCGCCATGTGTTAAGAACGGAAGTTGATAAGGTGTGAATCCAATCAGCCTGCCCCAATTGGCGTTAGCTGCATTCGAGCATCGCATGATGAGTTATTTACTTCTTGCTGTCTTTGCATGTGGGATTGATCCTGGGATGCCTAGCCCACAAGGGATGGTTGATATCATTCCCCTGTTCCCTGCTGCGAACTGGGAAGCGACACTCGTGGCGTGGTAAAAAAAAAAAGAAGAAAACAAAAAAGGAGCTGTCTCCCTGCCTCCCGCATGGCAAAGCGCATGCCCTTCTCGATGGGGGTGGCGGCAATGAGCTCGCACTCGCAGGTCACGTCATCGCCTGGCATGGCCATCTGCACCTCGTTGCCATCGGAGCTGGTCATACTGACAATGGAGCCAGTCACATCGCAAGTGCGGAAGTAGAAGACGGGCATGTAGCCCGGCATCACCGGGTTGGTGCGGCCGCCCTCATCCTTCTTGGCGAAGTAGATGTTGGCCTTGAACTTGGTGTGGGTCTTGGTGGCGCCAGGAGCGCAAATCACCTGACCGCGGAACACCGAATCCTTGTCAATACCGCGGCACAGCACGCCGACGGTGTAGCCAGCAGGACCCTCAGGCAACTCGGTATTGAACATCTTGATGCCTGTGATCACAGACTTCTGTGGCTTCTTGCCGCGGCCCAAAATCTCGACCTCATCGCCCTTCTTCACGATACCCTGCTCCACTCGGCCAGTGCACACCGTACCTCGGCCCGAGATCGAGAAGACGTCCTCAACTGCCAGCAGGAAGGGTTTGTCAGTGTCGCGCTCCGGCGTGGGGATATAGTCATCCACAGTCTCCATCAGCTCCAGGATCTTGTCCACCCACTTGTTGTCACCTCACCAAGCAGTACAACACCGTCACACTGCCGACTCTGCATCTGCGTACGCACGAGACCACCTGCCTTCTAGAACCTTAGCTGTATTGGGTAATGGTTCTAGCGTGACCCTTACGTGGGCGCAATGGTCACGTTTAGAAGCCGTGGGCATCTTTCATATTAGGATATATTACAAGAAGGTTGAAAACCGAACCGGAAACCGGTTAACCGAACCGGTTTTCAAAACCGCAAGAAAACCGGAAACAAACCACAAACCGAACCGAACCAAACCGAACAGAAACCGAACCGTCCCCAGGTTTGCAGGGCAGCAGGCGTCAAAGCAACAAACCCGCATTACTAATTTTTGCTTCCGCAGTGCTCGCAACACACGAAACATCGCTGACATTTGGCAAAAAAAAACAGTGACTTTTTTTTTGGGGCTGCTCGGCTTTGGCGCAGACAGCATCGCCAACAGCACCGATCCCGCTCCAAAGCGGCAGCAGGGAGAGTCGAACTCGCAAACTTTGTCTGAAGGGCTGCAATAATTATGTGTCCGAGCATCAACTTGTCTCACCAACCCCCCCTGCTCCCGCAGGATAGCCCGAGCACCCTGTTGCAGCCTGGCTGCGCCAGCAGCGCGGAAAAAAAAAACAAGTAATGAGGGTAAGTGGGTTGTTTTTTTTGCGCAGCCCGGCTTGGATTGGAACAGTTTCTCGCGGGCCGAACGGGAGGAAAACTGAGTTGCCCGCTGTCACTGTAAGGGCTTGCTGGAACGGCGCCTTGCCGCATTGCCCTGGGCCTGCCCTGCCCTTCCCCAACGCCGCACCAGCCTGATTGCCAGAATTTTTGGCACGCTTAGCAGGCCACTGCAGCTCAACCCCTTTGCTGCACGCGTCAAGCCAACAAACCCGCATTATTGGCCGCTTCTGGTTCTGATTTTTGCTTGCGCAGTGCTCGCAACACACAAAACACCGCTGAAATTTGGCAAGCAAAAAAAGCGGCCCACGAGCGGTCAGTGATTTGTTTTTTTTTGGGCTGCTCGGCTTTGGCGCAGACAGCATCGCCAACAGCACCGCCACGGGATCCCGTTCCAAAGCGGCAGCAGGGGGAGTTGAATTCGCAAACTTTGAGAGAAGCCGTAGAATAGTTGCATGTCCGAGCACCAACCTGTTTCAGCAACTCCCCCTGCTTCCGCAGGATTGCCCGAGCACCCTGTTGCAGCCTGGCTGCGCCAGCCGCGCGGAAAAAAAAACAACAACTTACTGACGGTCAGTGGGTTGCTTTTTTGCGCAGCCCGGCTTGGATTGGAACAGTTTCTCGCGGGCCGAGCGGGAGGAAAACTGAGTTGCCCGCTGTCACTGTAAGGGCTTGCTCTCCCGGCGCCTTGCCGCCTTGCCCTGGGCCTGCCCTGCCCTTCCCCAACGCCCCACCAGCCTGATTGCCAGAACTTTTGGCACGCTCAGCAGGCCACTGCAGCTGAGGCCCCTTTGCTGCACGCGTCAAGCCAACAAACCCGCATTATTGGCCGCTTCTGGTTCTGTTTTGCTTCCGCAGTGCTCGCAACACACGAAACACCGCTGAAATTTGGCAAGCAAAAAGAGCGGCCCATGAGCGGTTTTTGCGCTTCTGAGCTTTCACTGCAGAGATGCTTCCCAAGGCCACGTGCGCCGACCCAACATGCTCAGCATCAGTCAGTGGCATGCTTCGGTTCGTTTGTTTGTTTGTGTGTGTGGTTGTGTCTGTGTGTGTGTGTGTGGGCGAAAGCAGACTGAGTTACCTAGAGCCTTATCTTACTTTTCTGCATTAACCGTGCAAACCGGCAGGTTTTGGAAGGTTATGAGTAACCGCCACTAACCGGAGAAAGGTTTTCAAAAGGTTTCAGAAACCGAACCAAACCGAACCTAACCGTGGCCACCCTGATATTAGGTGTTAAGCAAACCTGAGGCCGGAACCCTTCTTGGTCGCAGAGTTGGCCTTCATAGCCTCCAGCGCCTGCAGAGCAGATCCTGCTGAAGCATCTTGCTTGCGTCTCTGGCTTGATCAAAATGGGGGGGATTGCTAACCATTCGATTTGTCTGAGGTTTGAGGGGTAATTCCTGCAACTGACAGTCCCCTAATTTTCTGCAGGGAAACCATGCAACCCATCTGGCATACTGATATAGAAAACCCCTGTAATTACCATAGGAAGCTCTTAGGACCCTGGGGTCATTTCGGTTACAATTTCTGTGCCGCCTTTGAGGGGGCTCCGGGGGATAGGGGCACTGACCATCTGCAGCATGCGCTCGCGTTCGAAGTTCCCAGTCCTTGAATGAAAGGCGTGTCGTCGCCATCGAAGCCGTACTGGCTGAGCCTCATCGATCAAGGAGTGCCCCCTCTTGTATAGACACTACAAAGGAGGAACTGGAGGTGGGGATAGAAGATTCCCTATTAAGAGTCAAACCACAAACCCTGGCACCTCACTGAGTTGTCCTTGCTCCCTGCTTGCAATACTTAGTTAACACACGTCAACAGCCCCCCCCCCCCCCTTCAGGGTCGCTTCTACGACGGGAACCAGAAGGAAACCGGTGGGTGTTCCATTGCTCGGGTTGTGTGCTCAAGGGAGACCAAAGGCTCGCTGGTTCTCAGTAGGAATCGATTCCAGGGTTTCGAGAATGAACCCATGGATCCTCCTGAAAGCAAGTCATAGGGGGGGTTCTTAGCACCTCAGAGAAGCCCCCTTTGGCCCCTTCTAAGCCACGCCCTGGTTTTCCTGGTTTTTCCCCTATGGAATGCTCCAGCTTGGGCTCCCGACCCCTTGCCCAACTCCTTCGCCTGAGCCCGCGACATCTCACGGGTCTCCAGCTCCACCAACTCCAAGAGCTCCTCGTCATCCATCATGTCGACCTCCGGACTCGTCTCACGAGACGACTCTGCTCCTGTTCGGCTTTGAAGCCACCGCCAAAAGGGCACCAGTAGAAAAGAAGAAGAAACAAAAAACACCGAAATGACAAAAACAACACGATGGATATACAATGCAAGTGAACCACGACCGACCACTTTCAATCACACCCAACCACAGAATATCGCAATCATTCCCGTGTTGGCCTACTTGTAATACTATCCGTGGCAAAAGGACCTGCTGGACATCTGAAAAACATCATGCAGGTGAGCCCAATCTTTGAAAATCACGGCAGGGAAACAAAGCACACATGCATTGAACGTCCAAAAACAAAAAGCGCCAACAATCCGGGGCTCCAAATGAAACCTCATCGCACCATACTGTCCAGAGCTTTCCGAGCGGCAACAAGCCGAGTCAAGCGAGGCGGGGATGTTTCATGACAACTCACGAAGTTGATTGGCAAAGAAGTCTAACCTGGTCGTTCACGACTAAACCGGAAATAATGTCCAAAAAGAAGTCCAACGACATGATCGCACAATGTACCAAAATATTGTCCAACCGGAAATCAAGTCCAAGAACAACTTAGGAAGTGCAAAGCTGAGGTGCGGGCCTTGTTCATGAAGCACACCAGCTTTGGCACACCCACCTGTGACGCTTGCCCGACCTATCGCCGAAGCTCAAAAAGGGAGCTTTTCCTTCAAATCGTCGGTCAATATACGCGTATGATCGAGGAATAAAGGACGCAAACAACAGCTTTCCGCTTTAAGTGGATCCTTTATGTATCTCAACACATGGTCCCAGTTCAATTCTACATCTATGATTGAATCTCGGTTGCTTTCTGCTCCCCTGCGAAAAGTTTAACTTTTAGTGGTTTAATGGAAAACTCAGTAGTTGGCAAAAAGTTAAAGTCCTAACATCCAAGCAAAATGCACCAAGGCAATTGTGTTCTACCATCATCATTTCAGGCAAGGGCTAAACATGTCTGATGTGTTTGCAGCCCATGACCCAGCACCCATCTCCTCTTGGGCTCCTTGGAGGAACTATTCAGAAGGGTCTGTCTTTCTTAAGGGCACCATGTTCTGTTGTTTTAAAGGAAAAACAAAAGGAAACCCGAAACTATGTTGGGGGTCCCAACAAAATGACACAATATAGGAAGCGGGTCGGAAGTCTTCCCATTTCCTGTTCGCCTGCTTGGACAGCAGGATGTGCTCCCGCGTCTGCGCCATGGGCCCATCGGGGGAAGAGATCACCAGGATGCCGCCGTCCATCTGGCAGGCTCCTGAGCGCCGGGTCAAGCCCCCTTTTGCAACTGCAGACAGTGTGCATCCACGACTGACAGTTGAGTGGTTGTGTTTATTCCCTTATTTGATTGGGCCCCTTCCTCGACACAGGTCCTTGCGCGGGTAGCTTCGATAAGGGAATTCGTGTGCACGATCTGCGAGTAATTCTAGCAAAAGCATAGGTAATGCTAGAAAGAGCACAACAACCACAACCCTTTGAGCTTTCGTGGAACAAAAACCTTTCGCGAAACGTCCCGGGCTGCAGTGTGGTGCGACCTTTTGTGTTGATATGTTCACCTGACCTCTAGACTCTAGTCTAGACATGTTTGCTTGAGCGGGAAAAGACACGCCACTCACTTGGACTTAAGGTACCGCGCATGCCCATTCTGACTATTCAGGCCCTTATACTCTGGTGATGCCTTAGGTCCGGCGGCACCAACTGGGCGTCTGCCATTGGACCTGTCTCTTTCCTGACCCTCCAAGCAGGGCTCCCGTACGTTTTGGACACCCCTCCCCAAGCGTCACACCGGGCCAAGCCCTTTTCACAGTCCCCTCTGCTTTGAGGTTTCTGAGTGCCTTTTGTGAGCAGATTAGGGTCTTGAGCCTCCATTCGCCATGGGCAAACAGAAATCCCCCGTTGGTTGGTTGGTTGTTGGTTGTTGGTTGAGGCTGAAAGGGGCGTTCCTTCAAAAGAACAGAGAAAACATGGCACCACTGCAGGTTATGCAGAAGGGCAGTCCAGCAGTCCTGTGATCATGTTCTTCACGTAATCCGCGTGTCCGGGGCAGTCCACGTGGCAGTAGTGCCTGCCATCCAGTTTCAACCCGCGGAGGATGGCTGGCTTAGAGCAGAAATCATCACTTAGAAGAATGACTCTGCCCAGCACAGGGAACTACACATATCTTGTTGGTTTCCATTTAAACACACACACACACACACAAACACCCCGTCCGCAAAACCCACAACTGCAGTGACCTGTTCTCCGTCTCGTACTCGATGTGCGAGGCGTTGATGGTGATGCCTCGGTTCCGCTCCTCCGGAGCGTTGTCGATCTCCTGGGCTCAGAGACGGGCGCTGGAGATCGAGATTCGGAATGACCGAGTCCGGGAAGGCTACGGCTGGAACCCAAGACATCTCTGGAAGATCTTTGGGGCAGCTTTCACACGTCCTAGCTCTGAAATCTCTGAAAACAAATCAACACGTCAATTGCGACCCGGGATACAGTCGCACTGCAAAAAAAACAACCCTGTCGCCGTCAAGCAGAGGCTTCATGATGTCCCGGAATCAGTGAAAAAGAGTGGATGCGGAAAATCAACAAGGAGCTAAACAAATAAATTAAGCACTTGTTCTTTCCATAAAGCACTTCACTATGATCTTTCTGGGTAACGTCAATACTGCAACACCATTCACACGCCTCATCAGTGAGGGCAAACCTCACCGGTCATCTTTGTTGTGTGGGGCCAACCCGTATAGTTTAATCCACAGTTTAAGCCATTGTTGACACACTCTCGTTCTGGTTTCCCTTGAATCATTGAAGGGGGACCAGGGAAAGTCTAGCTGTTCAAACCAGCTAGGGCAAACAAATGCAGGGCGTGGTTAAATCCTCAGATGCAAACGGGAGGACTGGAAAGGTGCCACGAAACGTCCCAACTTCAATACCAGGGAGAACTTTCGAGCGCGAAGTGCCCAATTCCAGAAAACCAGCCCCAAATCCCAGAAAATAAACAGCAGGCTGGTCTTTTCAAAAGAACCGGTGCCACGATTCTTACGGGAACAGACTTTCCAGGGAAGCTTGCAATGGTCACCTCAGAAAGGCCGAGTTTTTGCTTGTATCGTTTGGTATTTATCTCCGTTCCATTTTCTGGTCACTTTTGGAGCTGTTTAAGGTGGGTCTAGGGCGCGCTTAGGGTTTTAGGGTGGTTGGGGGTTTGGGGTGGGCTTGGGGTGGGTTTAGGTTTGGGTTGGCGCAAAGTTGGTTTAGTTGAGGATTCAGGTGGGTTTAAGGTGGATTTAGTGTGGTTCCGGTTGTTTAGGGTTGGGGTCAGTTTTGGTTGGGTTTAGGGTTTACGGGGTTCAAGGTCGATTGGAGGCAGGCTTAGGGTAGGCTGAGGTTGGGTGCGTTCGTGGTTACCGTCATCCAGGACGTCCTGGGTGCATGAATCGCCACCTTCACAAGAATCCTTGGCGGGTGTCTTAGTGAAACAGGACAGGAGAATGAAAGCAGCTGCTGAGGAGCTGACTGACAGCCATCTAGGCTCTTGTAGGGTGGTTTAGGGTGTTCAGGGTTTAGGGCGGGTTTAGGGTGGTTTTGGAGGTTCAGGGTGCGTAGGGTTGGCTTCGGGCTGGTGTAGGGTGTGTTGGTTTAGGGTGGGCTCAGATGGAGTTTGGGTTGGTTGGGTTGGTTGAGTTAAGGGTAAAGGTGGGTTTTGTGAGGTTTCGGGTGCTTGAGTTTAGGTTGGATTGGTATAAGATGGTTTAAGGCATGTTTAGGGTGGTTAAGGATAGGTTTAGGGTAGGTTTGGGGTGCGTTCAGGGTGAGGCCAGGGTGGGTTGAAGGTGGGTTTAGGCTTGGCTTAGCGTGGGCTTGGCGTAGTTTGGGGTGTGTTTAGGGTAAGTCTGAGGTGGGTCGGGGCAGGTGTAGTGTAGGTGGTTTTGTGTTTAGGGTATACGGGGGGTGTAAGGGTGCTTTCTCGCTTGTTTGCTTGCCTTTGTTTGCCATTGCTTGCCTTTTGCTTGCGTGCCCAGGGGACTGAAACAAATCCCAATCCAGCGGGAAAGCAACTCCCTAAACAATATATAGCATCCACTCAGAAACCCCCAAAGGCCTCATAGGACTTCTGCTTGGTGTCCGTGGAGGTGCTGAACCTTGCCAAGGCGATGTCTACCACGAATGGGAACCCGGAAAAACCAGGATTCATAGACCCCTGGCCAAGCCAAAAGGAGGGTGTCCCAGTTTTCCATTGCCACATGTCTACCCTCCTTCCAGGTGCTCTGGAAGAGGACAGAAAGATTCCCCAAGACTGCCAGTTGACAAGACAAAATATAATGTGTCCAGTAGTGATAGATGGGACTTAAAATTGACAGGGGAAAATAGCAGAGTGGGAACACAGTGCAACACACACACACACACAAGACGTACCGACTGAATCAAACCTCCGCATGGCGTCACACAGAATGAGCATGCCCATGCACTGTCTTTTGCAGTCTCCTCATTCAGCACACCACACAAGCACAAATGACTCACATGATCCTGAACCATGAAACATCATCAAACACTTGATTGTGTCTTGTTGGGGAACCCCCCCCCCCAGCCCTTTTACAACAAAGACAATATGATGGTTGTCCCCTTGATTTCCCCTTAAGACACCAGAATTGGATTCACCGTTGACTACTTACCGGAGGTTTCCCAGTGGTCTCAGGCGCGGGTCTGCGAGTCTGCGAGTCTGAGGCTTCGGCTGGCCGCAGACCAGGGAGATGGCGGCCGAGAGGGTGGTCTTGCCGTGGTCCACGTGGCCGATGGTGCCGATGTTCACGTGGGGCTGGCGGCTTCGGTCGTTTCGGGGATCGACGGAGGGTCAACATTCTGCATATTTCACCAACTTGAAAAAAAATGGTGGGGGGGGGGGGGCTACTCCTCACATGAACCACCATTTGGGGTGAGGTCGTGAGGTCGTTCTTCACCCAGAACCTTGGTGTGGATCTTTTTCACAACGCCCATCACTGGTTCCAGCTGAACCATACTCATTCCCCTGTTAATTTTCACTAAAACAGGTCCTTTGGTTTCCAACATGAAAACACGTGGTTGCCATTTGGCGCCCAAGTCTGGAAGGTTCTGAAAGGATTCTCTGAGTCGGCACGGCAACCGCCCAATCAAAAACATGTGAACCCAAACATCATTCAGGCCCTTTGGAAACCAAAACCGCACCGGGGCCCCAATTTCGGTGGATGAATTGAGGAGAACCCTGCGAAGGACAAACAGGAAGCCGTCCTTTCCGCTGAAAGGACACCCCAACCCAAAGAGAAACCAGATTGCCTCACTGGACAGGATCCATCCAAGGGGCCTAGGTTCCGCCCAAATTGGAGCCCCAACCCCGCAGATCCGGATGCCGAAATTGGGACGCTTCCTGGAACCGAGGGACACCAACAAGAACAAGGGAAAGGTTGTGTGAACACGAGTGTTCTTGCTTAGGAATCGAACTCCTTCACAAAAAAGGCTTCCCTAAAAAAAAAGTGAGTGGTTTTAATCTGTGAACCAAGGGGTTGGCCCGACCTTTCGAACTCGACACGGTGCCTTGGCATGGCGCACCACCGCGGAGGCCCGAGCCTGGCCCACCTGGCCAGGGCCAGTGCAAAGCGGGCTCCGCGCGTGCCGTGTGGGGGTGGGGTGGGTGTGTGGGGCTGTGGGGGCGGGGTGGGGGTGCGGGTGAAGCAGGGATGCTGAAAGTGAACTGTTTCAATGAGTTCTTAAAGTTACTTTTAAAGTTTTTCTTGACACCACCATTTGGACATGATGTGGAGGAAGGTGGAGGATGTCACCTCAATGGACCCAGTTAGGGGGAGCAAGCTACAGGTCGCACTGGGTAAAGTGATTTGGGCCAGTCATTTCAACGAATTATGCAAATTGAGTAGGATACTTTGGATAATGAGCTGTGGCACCCCCCAGTGTTCAAAACAAGCGAAATGCAGATCTTGTTTGGAGGTGGGGAGACTAGAGCCATATAAGTGGTATACCATCTCGACAGAAGTCCAGCGGCCACATGGGAAAAGTGCGCCCTTTTGGGGGTCCTTGACTTCTTTAAGGGACCCCCTCCCAAAGGGTGGAACTAAGCCGTAGAAGAACCGCAGGATCTTCCGCAAAGGCATCTCATCGACTTCCCGGGCTGTGATTTTTGGCCTTCAAAAAGGTAACCATTCCAAAACAGTGGAAGGAACCACAGGAACCGGTTCGTGGACCATTTTCCTTTTAAGGATGCTTAAGGCACGGGCAGGTTGCCTCCGTTTGTTTTGGGGCGTGTAACCCTCCCGCGTTTTTTTCGGAAACAGCAAATCGGTCCGAGTCGCCTTGCGGCCGCGGCTCACGCTGGCCCCGAGTGCCGCTGCGCCCAGAGCCAGGGCCTATGCACCACGGGGTTTTATGGAAGCACATCCAACGAATGAACAAGCAACATAAGCAGACATAATAAATACAAACAAAACGACCCAGGCAGGACACCAGACTCCAAGATTTGGCTTGGCAAACAAAGTGTCCGTAAAGGCAACGACGCATCCATTGGGCAAGCGGGTCAGCTGGCTGCTTAATATCCTTTCGCTTTAAACTGTTTGCCGCCAGTTCCCTTTACTAAACATCTTCTCAACCACGCCCCAAAAAGGCCCCTCAAACAAAGCCCCATTTTGGCACATGCATGAAGACCCCAAACAAAGGGTCCGTTCAAAGAATGGATTCCAGGGTCCGGGAAATAACATATCCGGGAGATCATCTCTGAAAACTTGGGAAGCGTGTAACGGCGAACCTCTTAAAAGTGATCGTCGTCCCAGCATGTGTGCGTGTCTTTTCTTGAGCGTACTCTTTTTACTGATTCAAATGGAAACCAAGAGAGGAAAATCGCCATTTTGGGGGGTTCCCCATGGAAATCCAGAGGAATACCGCCGTTTTGGGAGTCCCCGTAACCAAAAGACGCAGCCCACACGGTGAAAGTCCACAAACACAGCGCGTTCGTTCCGCGGAAAGTCTGGGCCCACCGGCCGCCACCGAGGCGCCCGAAGAAGCGCTGGATGAGCTCTGGGAGCTTGCGTGCGCCTCATGGACCCCCTTCAAGGGCGTGTAAAGAAAACTAAAGGGGTTTGTTGAAGCAGGGGACCTCCAAAACTTTATGGCATCCTTTTAGTTTCCATTTAAAGCCACCCCAGAAGGGTAGCCTCAGCAAAAAGACCCACCATGAAAAGAGCCCACGAACTTGAGAACGTAAAACAAATCACGCAATCCGCTTTTGCCAAACCAAACACTCTAATACCTAGAGATTCGTTGCGGCAGAAATTTCTGCCGCAATTCAAAAAAGGCGCCTTTTTGGATTTGCGGCATTTCTTCCTGATTTGCGGCGTTTTTTTAGAATTGCGGCAGAACTTGTTTTCAGTTTTTTCTCCCCCCCGATTTGCGGCGGAAATCGGCGGGAATGCGGCGGAAATCGGCGGGAATGCGGCGGAAATTCCCGGAAAGCAAACAGTGCTGCGGCGTTTTTGTTTTGGTTGCGGCGTTTTTCTTTGTTTGCGGCTGATTTTCTGGAATGCGGCGGGAATTTCCGCCGCAATGCGTTGCGGCAGAAATTTCCGCCGCAGGAAGTTCTAGGTATGTTTGAATTGATTCTAGTGCACAGATCTAGCGAAACAGAGATCCCAAAAAATGGGTCCCCGATTGCTTTGGGGGGCCCAATTGGTTGAAACTATTTTCACCGGGAAGTTTGTCTACCAACTAGCTTTGCCCCAATAAAAATCACAGCCTACCTTGCCTCCGCTGGGCCCCTGGCCTGATGCTGGGACCCCTCCTGGCATGGTGCTGGGCTGGCGAAAGGCATAGTGGCATAGAGCCTTTCCTACCCCCTCAATCGTTCAACCACACCACGCCACACAATCACATCCACATCATATGGGTATGTGTCAAACTTAAACCACCAGGGGACCAGGTGTTGGTTCATGTTTCAACTTACCAAGGTTCATATTTTTGACCCACATCATATGGTCTTTCCAGGGCAAAAATTGCGCATGGGTGTGCTTGTGGATGCGCGTGGTCAACACTCCTGTGGGCCATGTAAACAGAAACTCTTACAAGTGTTGTCGAAAATCCCTTGGCGGTGTTTACCATGTCTAGCCCCAAAAGAGGCGGTTTTACAATGGCAAACAGGTTCAGAGAAAGTGCGGGGGTAGGAAGCGGACCTCCAGTGGCCATGCATTTTGGCTTGCTTGATTTGAAGGGACACCCACAGAATGGAAAAGAAGTGGCTCAGGGAGGAGCAAGTCCCACCACTTCCAACTCAAAACAGGCATGAGGGTAGACAATTGCCCGTTTCGTTGGAAACCAAGGAACACCAAATGCAGCCGACCAATCTTCTACTTAGATGGGTGTTGATCATCCTTCAGGAACAGCACTGGCCCTGCAAAGCTTGGGCGCCAAAAACCACAGCAATCTGCGCACGTTATTAATCTAATTGTCTATCTATCTATCTATCTATCTATCTATCTATCTATCTATCTATCATTGTACTTGTTCATTGATTTACAACCCTACTTGAATCATATTAGAGAGGCTATTCCTGAAGTCTGGCAAAGGAGTGTTGCTTCTACCATGCTGCTTGCGAAGGTGTTGAAGCACTGGTCAGGGAACAGTTGGTCCACATCTTCTGCTTAGTTTCCGCCAAACCAAACCAAACCAACCAAGCAAGGTCAAGGAACACAGCTCTAGCAGTCAGTCTGTCAGCGCCCACTCGCCGCTCGACCGCCTTCAACTCCCGCGCTGGCTGGGGGGCCACGAAGCTGGTGGCCGTCAGCACCTGACGCGGCGGTGGTGTGGCGGGCCGAGAGTCGAAACAGGAAACACACACGCCCCCCAAAAGCAGAGAACGTCTGCTCCAGCAACCCTGTGCATCCTGAACCCGCGACAAGCAAGCGGAGGGTGCCGTCACATGCACAAGGACTCGCAAAAGAAAGCAAGAGCAAGAGCCAGCGAAGAAACAAACAACCAAAACGACCCAGGGAGGGCTGGAGCCGCCAGATTTGGCTTGTCGGACCAAGAATCCGCAAAGGCAACACCACATCCGTTGTGCAACTGGGTCAGTTGGCGTCTGAAAGATACTGTTCCAATTCACCTTGATAATCACGTGCCATTTATTGACACATCCGTTGAGAAACTGGGTCGCGTCTAAAAGATATTGTTCCACTGCAGCGAAAACTCGGTCTCGAAACTTCGGACACCTAAACAACCGGCTGGTTGACCCTTAAAAGCATTCTCCCGCCAAAAAGACACCGCTAACATATGCCTGTCTGTCTGTCTGTCTCTGTCTGTCTCTGTCTGTCTCTGTCTGTCTCTGTCTGTCTCTGGCTGTCTCTGTCTGTCTCTGTGTGTCTCTGTCTGTCTCTGTCTGTCTCTGTCGCTCTCTGCCTCTCTCTGTCTCTCTGTCTGTCTGTCTGTCTGTCTGTCTGCCTGTCTATGTATGTAAGTATGTATGTATGTATGTATGTATGTATGTATGTATGTATGTATGCGTTTATGTATGTATGTGTGTATGTGTGTATGTGTGTATATGTATATGTATATGTATATGTATATGCATATGTGTATGTATGCGTATGTATATATGTATGTATGCATGTATGTAGGTAGGCAGGCAGGCAGGCAGGTATGTAGGTACGTATGTATGCATGTATATATGTATGTGTATGTGTATGTGTATGTATATGTATGTGTCTATGTACATGTATGCATCTATGCAACATACATATTGTCCAACTCTTGGCATGGTATCACAATTGTAGCAAACATGAACACCTGAAAACGTAGCAACAAACATGCCAGTTGTGTATGTATCACATGTGTATATATACATATATATACATGTTGGATGACATATTGACAAAAGCTTAGGCATCAGCGCTCCGGCCAATCACAGCTATACTCCAACCTTTGTTGGCCTTTCCGGGACCCCAACAAATAGGTCAATCGCAGTGAGGAACCTGATCATTATGTCCGAGTCAAAAGCCCGTACCCCCAGTGAACATCCCAATCCCAACTAAAATAGACCTACCCCAAAATGGGATCCCGAAACAGTTTTGACCCACAGCCATCTCAAAGTCTGTATTTGTTTGAGGGACCTGGAAATGCCCCGTGGCTTGGCCCCCCTGCGGCGGCGGAGCCGAGCACGACTGAGGCAGAGGTGCCTCAAAAATCGGCACCATGAGCTGTGTTGTTCATGCGGGTGTGCCTTTTTCAGGGTCCACTCAAATGGCTTCGAATCTCCTTGGAGTTTCCTTTTCAAACCACGACAAACCCTTCTCAAAAAAGAGCCCAAGGCTTGAAGGCCAGGGCAGAAATGCTAATAAAAGAAGACCGATCATTTGGCTTGCCCCCGGTGCCCTGGATCGCAAGTTGATAAAAACAACCATACCAGCACCCCCCAAGCACTGCTTGTTGGACACTTCTTAGGATTTTGGACATGTAAAACAGTTCTTGGAAGGGTGCTAATTAGATGCACTCCCAGCTATGGCTCAAGATACCAGACCTTGGTGAGTCGGTTGATACGGCTTTATGGCTACAAAGAGACCTCTAGCCATGGGAAACTCGTGAGTACCCCTCCGTGGCTTTGAAGGAAACCCGTTGCACCATCTTGGGGGTCTTCCAACTTCCTAAAAAAGGACGAGCCACCCACTGGAAGGACAAAGAAGCACTGGTTCACCAAGTAAGGCTTACCTAATTGGCCATGGGTCAAAATCCCGTACCCCAGTGAACATCCCAATCCCCACTAAAATAGACTAAAATGGGTGGTGCACCTACCCCAAAATGGGATCCCGTTGGTTTTGACCCTCAGCCAATTCGAGGGACCCACGTGACTCAGAAAAAGACAAGGGGCGCAGGTCCGGGACAGCTGAGGCTTCCCTAACTCACTGCGCGGCTCGACTGCCGCTGGGCTCCCGCGCGCGGAGCCATGATGCTCGAGCCAACTTCCCTTCGCCTGGGCCAAGGAGAAGCAGCGCATGACCGAAATCCAGCGATCTTCCTCCATTTGCTGAGGTGTTTCTGGGGAAAGAGAGATATATATATATATATATATGACGGTTGTCTGAAATTCCTTGTTCCGGAAACCGCCATCTTCGCGAGAAAAAAATAACTTTCGCGGACCCCATCGCGGAACTGTCGCGGGGCTGTTTTCAGAACATTCATCACAAAAGTAGTACACAAAGTACACTTTCGCAGCCCCAGCTCGAAAGTCGCAGCTCTTCAGTGCGAAAGTAGTACTAAAAGTAAACTTCCGCAGCCCGGCTTGAATACGAAAGTAGATAAAGTAGTACACGAACTAAACTTCCTCAGCCTCGAAAGTCAAAACTTGTCACTACGAAAGTAGTACACAAAGTGAACTTCCGCAGCCCCAGCTCGAAAGTCGCAAGCTTTCAGTTCCAAAGTAGCACGCGAAGCGCGCTTCCGCAGCTCCAGCTCACAAGCTGTGAGCTACGCACGAGAGGACCCGTTGGCCTCATGTCCGGAAACTGGCGGGGAGGTCCGTTGACTTTCGCGAAACTTTCGCGGATCTTACGCCAAACATTCGCGAAAATCCGGCTGGAAGTTGCGCTCAACTTGCCCCGACAGCTTCAAAACTCCCAGAAGCTGGTTTCTGCTGGCCGGGGGTTGCTTTTGCAGCGGCGTATTCTTGCGGCGACCCTCAGGCTGCACATTCTCCGACCAACTTTAGTCTGCGGGCATTCTGCGCGCACTGCCGGTAAATACACATGGTTCATCACTCCAGCTTCCTGTTAGCAAGCCACACAAAACTTTCGCGGAAAAAACAACTTTCGCGACCCCCTTCGCGGAACTTTCGCGAAGGTCAACGCTAAGACCAAAAGGTCTTCCCCTTCATAGCTCAATACAAGGACCTTTCGGACGACTCTCATATATACCTGGGTCTTCCGTGGGCACTTTTTTCTGGATTTTCCCGTTGAGCAAAAATAACGCTCATTTCATCCAAACACGCTCAATTCGAAATAAAACGCTCAATTGGAAAGTGGTTCTGGTGCGTGTCCGCACATTTCCGCTCATTTCCCGCCGATTTCCGCTCATTTCCCGCCGATTTCCGCTCATTTTCTGGGACACAACTTGCAAATCAAGATTTCCGCTCATTTTTAGTTTTTCCGCTCAAAATCTGAAACGAGCAAAAAAAATGCCCAGAGCCCCAAAAAGTGACCAAATGGAAGACCCAGGTATATATATATATATAGTAATTTCAAATAGTAATAAAATCCCTTTAAAACCAACAGGGGAGAATCAACCCTATTCTTAAGCAAAATTTCAAGTCTTTAGTACGAAGTGTTTCATGCCACCGAGAGGCCACGGCCCACCCAACACCCATATGGGAGTATTGTCGATTTCTCATATCAATATTGTCGAACTCACTGCACACCTACATTCTTGATCCCTGGAAGCAATACGCCTCGCAAGTCTGAGGCAGGAACGGCAGAGGCGGTAGAACCCAAAACGGCTGAACACCCAACACGGCCACAGAAATCGGCTGAATGCCTTCAGTAAGGAATGCCCAAGCAAGCATGCCACAAGTATCTCCTCATGGACACATCGATGGCACCGGGAAACAGCTAGAGCCGCACTTGAAACCAGTGCCAGGTGTAACCTCAAATTTGGCAGTCAAAATGACTGGGAACAGCTGCTTTCGCCAACATGACACCGTGCGCGGGGGGGGGGTCCCTGGTTTGCTGGATCTGTTCAATCCGTCCAACACCCCTGATGGCGACCATCCAAATCGACTCCCTCCTTTCAACGACACACACACACAGACACGGGTAGACACAGGTGAATGCATTTTAAACAGCACGGCAAATCTGGCACCCAACGGCATGCCCGAATCGGTGAGCTCGCTATAGTGCTAACCCATCATGCCAAATGCAGCCAGCTTCATTTAGCACGAGTCGCTCTTGCTTTTCTTGCCACACGCATATTGCTACGATCTCTAAGGCGGAAACATCTCACAATTCAAATGATGGTGGTGCAATCAACCTCTCTCAAGGCATTCGGACAAGTCCTAACGCATAGGCGTGTGTTTTGCCAGGAGTGATTGCGAAGCCAATTCGGCAATGGCTCTGAAAATTCGAAGACATGGCCAGGGCGCCCTCCTTGCCTCCGTGCACTTATGTTCTTTGCAAGGAGGCGCCCGAGCGAAGGGACTGTTGAAAATGCACGCGCTGCACAGAACAAGATGTCTGACGCTTTCTATTAGGCTATGCGCAGCCTCCCACTATAGTTGTTCTTGGTTCTGTGTTGTTGCTTGCTGCTTTTCCAAACACTGTCCTCTTCCAAGAGGAGCCACACACACACACATAGCGCTTGCAGCTCACGCGCCGAACTTGATTCCGATTGCAGCTTGACCTGGCAAAACAGCGCGTCAGGGATCACTGGGTTGGGTCCCGATTCCATTTTCCTACTCTCCCTTATAGGAAACAGGGAAGCATAAACTCAGATCCTGCATGAGTTTGGCAAGAAACACATGAAAACTGTTGTTTACCGCTAAGCAGTCGTCCAAAACAACAAAAAAGGTCGAAATCCCTTCCCCAATTCCATCTTTGGGGAGATGGAGCAATGCCCGGGTCACAAGAATCAAATAGATGTCAACTCCTTCGAACCAAGCAAGTCATAACAACAGGGGCAGACTTTCCTTTTCATAAACAGCCACAGCTTGAATCAACATGGTCGAAACAGAGATCATCCGAAACAGCCTGTTAAAGTGAGAAAGTGACGTTGGACATGGAAAATCATGTCATCATGTCATCCATTCAGGAAGCTGACGCCACCCTTCTCATGAGTCCTGCATGAAACCAGAGAAACAAGCTTTGATGATTCGGGCGACCAACAAAAGGGCCTAGCCCGCAAAATTCTTCAGAGGTCCAAAGCAGGGACTCCACCAACGTACCCAAAGAGCCCCCCCTGCTGGGGAATTCTCATCACAGAGGGGGACACCTTCGCTCTTCACTCGCATCCGGGATCGCTGGCCTCTCACTTCGCATCCGTGATGAGGCCCTGGCCGATGGTCTTGCCGCCCTGGAGCAAACGGCGCAAAAGACGGTTCGAAGGTCTGCGTTCCCCGCGGTGCTTTCACAAGAGGGGCCAGTTTTGGGATGATCTTCCGAACAAGGACCAAGAACAGTTTGTTGTTGTTTAGTTGGGAGAAAAAATAGCCGGACTCCCATCCTTATAACTTTGCAGGATCTCCTTATCACAGAAAGTGGCAACCCACCCCTCCACCTATTTCGGAACACCATCCTCGGGCTTTTGAGATAAGCCAAAAAACCACTGAACATGGCCACAAGTTGGCCACAAGTGCGCGTCTTGACATGCACCCACAAAAACAACAACACCCCATGGTTCCGTGAGAAGGAAATCTCCGTGACAGATTGGGTCACACACGGACAGACCGCTGTTTGAGGTCGCCACAGTTTGTCTCACAGGTTGGACACCCGGGCGCCCGTGTTACAAGAGTATGCTTGGGGAACGGTTCTCGCATCTTTTGGAACTGGATCTGATCGGGACCTAGTCTTGGGATGTTTCGGGGTCGGCATCCAAAGTGCCTCCCGCATGGCAAAGCGCATGCCCTTCTCGATGGGGGTGGCCGCAATGAGCTCGCACTCGCAGGTCACGTCATCGCCTGGCATGGCCATCTGCACCTCGTTGCCATCGGAGCTGGTCATACTGACAATGGAGCCAGTCACATCGCAAGTGCGGAAGTAGAAGACAGGCATGTAGCCCGGCATCACCGGGTTGCTGCGGCCGCCCTCATCCTTCTTGGCGAAGTAGATGTTGGCCTTGAACTTGGTGTGGGTCTTGGTGGCGCCAGGAGCGCAAATCACCTGACCGCGGAACACCGAATCCTTGTCAATGCCACGGCACAGCACGCCGACGGTGTAGCCGGCAGGACCCTCAGGCAACTCGGTGTTGAACATCTTGATACCAGTGATCACAGACTTCTGCGGCTTCTTGCCACGGCCCAAAATCTCGACCTCATCGCCCTTCTTCACGATACCCTGCTCCACTCGGCCAGTGCACACCGTACCTCGGCCCGAGATCGAGAAGACGTCCTCAACTGCCAGCAGGAAGGGTTTGTCAGTGTCGCGCTCCGGCGTGGGGATATAGTCATCCACGGTCTCCATCAGCTCCAGGATCTTGTCCACCCACTTGTTGTCACCTCACCAAGCAGTACACCGTCACACTGCCGACAGCAAGCAATCATTTGAACACCCCAAAACCACTTAAGGCTTGCTAGAAGCTCCTTGGGATGGTTCCTACCCCAAAAATACGCAGCTCCGTCCCTGGTGCTGTTCGGGGTATGAGGCTTTCAGCCTGAGGCCTGGGCCCTTCTTGGTCGCAGAGTTGGCCTTCATAGCCTCCAGCGCCTGCAGAGCAGATCCTCACAAACGAGGTCGACTCGCAGATCTGGACGGGATTTAAAGGATATCCGGTAAAGGGGATCAAGGGTGCGCCAGTTTTGGGCAACCTGCGGCAAATTTTGAGGCGGAGTAGAACCGTTGCCCCACGCCAACAGAATCGTTCATTCGTTGAGTTGGCGCCTCAACCTTTGCCATCAAATGTTGCCTGCAAGATAGGCAGTCCTTCACATCAATCACGCCTCAACAGTCACCATGTAAGGTCATGCGCACATGCGCTGAATTCAAGAAATGACCAGTTTGTGACTGCTACATTCTGTGCAACAATGAACACCAATACCGGAAAGAAAAACAAACGTGGGCCAACAGCCGGTAACACGCCGCAGTTCTCGGCAGCTCCGCGCAGGCCCAACGCATAGATTGCAACAACACAGAATCCCGACTTTTCTTCGGCATTGGTTGTTGATTCATCCGGATTGCTCGAAACAAGAAACTCAGTTTGCAGGCCTGTTCTGAACAATGGGCTAGAACACTCAGGATTTCTACTTGCGTTACCTCATGGTTACTCAGGACCCTCCTATTACACCTGCATCACCCTCACGCTGCTCCCAAATCACAAAACTTCAAGCAAGCAAACACGTGTGCGCAATGCCCCATTTTGTCTAGACTTGCTTAATGCTTGACACCGTTTATTTGATACCGTTTAGATCCTTTTGAATATCGGCAAGGCTTCCAGCACGTTTGGAGACATGTCAGACAGGCCTCTGCGTGTACAGAGAACCAAAAAGTGAACCCTTTAGGGGGGAGGTGCAAATCCCATTTCCAAGACCAACGTCGTATCCAAAGTCCTTGGATGAAGGGTGTGTCGTCGCCATCGAAGCCATACTGGCTGAGCCTAAGATATGGCTCCAAGGAAGCTGGGTAAATCAACAGAAGTCGCCCATCGCCGCCCACCTGCAAAGCTTACTTGGCCCTTGATTCCTTGACTATAAATGATGATGAAGGAACCAGCCAACCATCAGAAAGTTGGAAGTTTGGCCAACTCAAACAAACAACTCGCCAACCTGCACGAACCAACAAAGCCAAATCCCAGGCCAAAACACCAAGTGCTAGTCTTTAGGGGCTACTCAATGGTTCGGGGTCGAAACACCCCCCTAGCTCGCCACAGCTTGCGCAGAAAGGCTGCTCTTCGAAGGGCAATGCAACAGCAAGGCCCCCAACTCATGTCTGTAAGAGGTGCAAAACCTCCCAAACATAGAAGATACCTCTCAAAACAACAGAGAGTCTTGCATGGCCGCCTGAGAACTCCATCCTGCGACTTCCCGTTTTGCGCCGGGAGGCAGCTCCGGAGACCCCCCTTTTCGGGCTATGCCCCTTCTGAGCGGAGACAGGGCCATGAGTCCCAATTGTTCAAAGCGAAACTCCGCCGCACCCCCCAACGACTGCTTTCTGGACAGGGGGTGTTAGACATTGCTGAGAAAGGTGTCAGTGGGGAGTGGCCAAGATTGCAGAACAGAGCTATGCCCCTTGAACGTCACCGAGAAGACACTCCACCGAGATTGCCCCAGGCGATCAAAGCGCCCTCAAAAGGATATACACAGGGACTGAGAAAGGCTCGAGTTGGGACAAGGCAGGACCAACCATCGAGCCAGCTCTTGAAAAAGCATGAGTAACACCCGTTCGCTTCCATCTGGCATTCCCTCAAAGGAATTGGACCAAACACTGCTTCAAACAAACTCTGCCCAACTGGTTTTAGGGTGGGAGGATATGGTGGAAACGGCCATGGCGTACTCAAAACACGCAGGTATTTGGATTACAAGGGGCCCTTCAACACTTCTTGCCCCTTTGGTTTTCCTTTCAAGGCATTGGACCAGTGACTGGTTGCTCAAAACACATTTGGGGTTGTCTCAAAATAGGGGTACCCCCTTAAAGCAATCAACATGGTGGTTTTCCTTTAGGTTTCTCTTAAAACCAACCTAAAAAGGGTGCCTTCAACAAAAAGACACACTCTCCCCCCCGCCCCAGCGCGCTGTTTCCGTTCAGAGAGTGGCATTTCGCGGGTCTCCAGCTCCACCAACTCCAGAAGCTCCTCGTCGTCCATCATGTCCACCTGTGTATGTCTTTGGGTATGTAAGTCAAAATCGGTTGGTTGATCAAACGGTCCTTTACATGGGATGACCATGAGGGAACCCCACCAAAAACAAATTGGCTTTCACCACTAAATGAAAATGGTTACCCATAGTCGTTTTGGGGCCGAAGGGAAGTTTGACCAACCCCCAAATAGGCTGGTTGGTTGGTTGGTTGGTTGGTTGGCTGGCTGGCTGGCTGGCTGGTTGGTTGGTTCAAGGTGCAAAGCTTTGTGCAAGTGAGCTACGGGTGCGTCAAAAGAGGGGCACCAAAGGCGTGATCTTCCGTTCGGCTTCCCTTCAAGACCAATCTGAGAAGGGTAACCTCAAAAAACACACAAATATAACACGGACCAAACAATCAAAACCTCGAATACCCTCCCACCAACTCACTTGAAAGAGAAAGTCTGCACTTCCATATTTGTTTGTGAGGACAAATTGAACAGTGTCTGCATTTTGGGAACTCCTGCTTCATGGAAGGCAATCAGAAAATGTTCAGTTTTGGGAGAGATCTTAATCACGGGTAGTCGCCCTTTGGGTGGCGAATCGATTGGGCTTGTGCCTCTATGGATGCTCCGTTGCGTCTCTTCAATTTGCCCGGATGGATGTTTCGCGTCATGAGCTACAGGCAAAAAGAGCCATGGGCGGGGGGAACCTAGCCTTGTTTCACAACCTGATACATGGAAGCTCCCAGCACCCTGTTGGAAGACTTTGTTCCATTTCCAAAGGCCTTTTGGGAGCGGCCATGCCAGGCTGAGGGAGTGTAGGATTTAGAGAGTCCAAACACAGAAACCTGCGGCCGGTTGGCCTTGTTCATGAAGCACACCAGCTTCGGCACGCCCACCTGCCCAGAGACAGGTTGCCCTCTTCAAACTAGACCTGGTCCCTAACCTAAGTTGGTCTGTCTTTTTTCTGGGGACCCCCGTTTTGGCTTGTTTAAACTGGACACCAAAGAACAATCACCTTTTTTTTTTGGGGGGGGGGGGGGAGAAAAAGGCACCCAAATGGCCTTGAGCCCAAGGAGTGTCCCCAGCTTCCCAAAACGTAGGCCGAGACTTCCCCAAGCGGATCGAGGTGATGGCCGCTTTGGGTTGGCTGGTTTTCAGCGGGGAACCCGCCGGCAGGGACACGGTTTCCCCATATGCCCAGCCGAGCCGAACATCACTATAAAAGCCAAAAGGAAACAGGTCTGCTTCGGCATCCTGTCCTCGTCTCTTGGAAGAAGGATTGCAGTTTTCGGGGGTGCCGTTGAAGCCAAACAGCTTACCCAAGTTCAACCCTTGGTTGATCATGCCCTCGGGTCTGGAAGAGCACCGCCATGACTGGGCGGATAAGGGAGACCGAGGCGATGGCACCTTTTTCGGGTGTTCAGCATAATGCAACGATTTCGGCGACATCCATGAAGGACTTCTCCATTGGTGAAACACCCGTCTAAACCACCCGGGTGACTTGGGTGTTGAGGATGTCCCCTTTGAATTCGACCCTCCGGTCCGCCAAGTGTTGCCGCTACCGGGTAACCGCTGGCGACCGCTCCCCCACTCCCCCCGCTTCGCCTGCTTGGACAGCAGGATGTGCTCCCGCGTCTGCGCCATGGGGCCATCGGGGGAAGAGATCACCAGGATGCCGCCGTCCATCTGGCAAGCTCCTGCCAAGATCGCACAAAGACGCGACGCCTCAGGCGAGGCATTCTCAAAAAAAGGGAACATGTGCAAGCAAAGCCGGCACACACCTGAAAAGCCTGAAATAATACATTGTTCTTTTTTGCTTGCCACCAATGCTGATACCATGGGGGGGGTGCACAACATCATGTTGTTCAAACACAACTTGTTTTTCGAGACCAGCAACTTTCCCTGGTTTGGCTCGTGTGTTGATGTCATCCTCCCCCGTAGCCTCCAAAAAGCATCAGTGTACTACCAATGACTTTTTGAGTTGATCGTTCCTGAACATACCCTTCCATCATAAGTCCCCTGGAACAAAACAAAACATCCAGAAAGTAGATTCCCTGAAAAACCAACAAGGGAAATAGACATATTCTTGCACAAATGGATTTATCCTGTAGGATGGTTTCCTAGGCTGCCCCGCAGGCGGAAGGGCCGGGATAGCTACTTCCCGCCAGCTCCCAATCCGGGGGGGGGGGGGGAGGTTGGGTGAGAGCCATGGCAAAGGCAGCCATTTGGCTCTTGATAGTCACTGCTGCCGATAAAATTGGGCTGCAATTGCTCCCCTCATGGCTCTGCAATGCTCGGAATCAGTGATGATTATGAATGGACCTCGTGTGCAAACGCCTAGGGGCCTAGCCGTGACGGATACCGCCCACTGTGCTCAAAGAATCGGTTCACACATTCCTTTGATGCTTACAGAATGAGTTTCTGCAAACAATTGAAATCCAAAGAGCCAAGAAGGGTGAAAGTTGGTCGGCCCAGCGGTCATTCTCAGGATCGGAGTGAATCTCAAAATAAACCATCCTGCGACAACTTTGTGATTTTGGAGGGAATTTCCTTGGAATTGCATGGCAATCACCCTAAAACCACGAGACTTCCGCAGCATGGCCTAGAGCCCAACAGAGCCGAGGGAAGGAAGGATCGATCCGTCCAGGATCGATCCAGTCCTGTGATCATGTTCTTCACGTAATCTGCGTGGCCCGGGCAGTCCACGTGGCAGTAGTGCCTGTACAGATCTGATCCCAGCACCGCAACAAGGGAAATCAGCAGAACACAGAAGTGTTGGACGGTTTGCCTACAACGGTTAGGCAATCATTCGTGCTCCCTAATTGTTTGTCTGTGTCGTTCTTAGGGGCATCCCTAACCAACTCGTGATCCATGGTAAAAACACAACCATCCAGCTGATTTCGAACAACGTACTTCAGAACAACCCAATTTGTGGTGACTTTTGGGGGGGTGGGGGGGGGGGCGGGGGGCGCGCCTCGTCGTCCAACAGGAATCATATATATCCACTGATGTTGGCTGTCTCAGCTACAGCCACCAAACCGCAACACTGGGCTTGGGCGCACATATTTCTAAATACAACCTTGTCATTTCGAGTCGAGAGGGGTGTACCCCGGGGTGGCATATATATATATATATTATACAAACAACTCCTGGAACCACATGGCCACTTTGGCAATTGATTGACAAGCAAACACTCTCTACCAGGCATGTCCAGCCGAAACAAGAATAATACCTGCACGATATTATGCTAAAGGCATGGTTGACGGAACAGATCTCCTGTTGAATCACATGAGGCAGGCATGTCTTCGCTGAGAGTCTTCACGGACATGGAAGCTTGGAGAACAGCACCCAATGAGGTACCCAATGCTGAACCCTTGCTCCGGTGGGTGGTGCCGGTTGGGCTTTCCTTCAAAACAAGAAGCAGGTATCACCTGGGGGCAAGACCCGGAGAAAAAAACAACTTCTTAAGAGGGGAACCACCCAAATGAAGCTCCTAACCCATCACAATTAGAAAAAGGCTACCAACCCCAAACATGCTTGGAGCGCATGGGGACTTTCGAGCCTCAGCTTGAAGGCTTGGGCTCCCGTTCTCGCTCTCAAGTTACGAGTCTTGCACCTCCCATTCGGTGTGACGAAAACAGCGAAGCGCGACCGCGCCCCCAACAACAGCAGGGTGTGTCTGTTCCTAGGGGACCCCCAAGTTGGCGGCTTTCCGCTTGGTTGCCCACTTAAACCAACCAAAACGGGGGTGCCACCTCCAACAAAACACACGGGATGACAACGCTTCCGTATTTGACGACTCCAAGAAACACCTGAACTCAGGAATAAAAACACTTTGGGGGACATAAGCCACGTTTAAGTCCACCTTGGGGCTGTCAAATAGCGCCCTGGACCGATATTTCAAGGACGGACCAGGGCTTCTGACCTGCTTTCGGGTGGGCTACGAGACCTTTGGGTGGTGGACCGGGGCTTGCCTGTTCTCTGTCTCGTACTCGATGTGAGAGGCGTTGATGGTGATACCTCGGTTCCGCTCCTCCGGAGCGTTGTCGATCTCCTGCAACGGGCACCAGTTGCAGGACGTCTGGCCACAACCTTCGAAAGACCGAAATCAAGAATACCAAGGAGACCGCGAGCGCCTAAATTTACGCAATGAATAGACAAGCTGCAACAAAGCTCTCCAAGTAAAGAGCCAAAATGCTGGTGAGCCCGTTTTACCCGAACACGGGTGCCCAAAAAAAGAAGCGGCAGACCCGTGCAAAAGGCCAAACGGGGTCCTTTTTCAAAACTATAGACGTTCACTTTCCCAGTTTGGTCTTGCAGTTGTCTTGCCTTTAACCTCTTTCAAAATGATGGACCCCATCGAGGTGTTTATTCATTTTCCCTCTTGGTTCCCCCAAAACCAGCCCAAAGCAGGTCCACCATTTGGGTTGTTCTGAAATTCGGGGAACCCCGGTTTTCCTTGATTTCCCCTAAAGGGGCTCCTATAAAGCGTATCGATCCATTTGGGCGAGTCCATTTTTTGAGGCTGCCCCTTTGTGGCTTTTTGGGAAGCCGAAAGGAAGCCTAAAAAACGGATCCATTTTGGGGCTCCGAGTCCGAGTCTCGCCTCATAGGACTTCTGCTTGGTGTCTGTGGAGGTGCTGAACCTCACAGCTTTACCAAAACACGCCGCTGGCCACACGTCCCTCACTCGCGCTTTTTGTGTTTTGAGGGTAACATATCTATGCCCATCTGTTGAGGGGAAGAGTTGGTGTATTTTCAATATCCAGCTGAAATATACCCTTGTTCAAGGTTGCTTTGTGCCAGTTTTGGGGTTGGGTACAAGCAAACACCTGGACACCTCCGGTTGCGTTCGCCCCCCCCCCCCCCCTCTGCGCTCGTCCCACCAAGCCTTTCGGCCCCAAAAAAAAACACGATTCTAAGGCGCCCGGCTGGCCGCAGACCAGGGAGATCGCGGCGGAGAGGGTGGTCTTGCCGTGGTCCACGTGGCCGATGGTGCCGATGTTCACGTGGGGCTGGCGGGTGGAGCCAGCGCTGATTGAGAGACGGGCTCTTTTTCATGTACTGTATGACAACGGCAGGGAAATGAAAAGGAAACCAACCATAGGGGGCACTGTTTTGGGCACCCAAATCCTGTGACAAATGAACAAATGGGAAAATCAAATTGACTCTAAAGTTTTAAAGAGTCTGTGGCAAGGGAAATCAGTTGGCCTGTGGAGACCTTTTGGTGTGCTCATCCCTGTTCAACGTGGAGTTATGTGGAGTTTATCTACCTATGTTCTTACAAAGGTGAAGACGCCGTGGGCCAACCGCCATATTTGGGTGGTTGAGACTCGGCAAAAAGATATCCAAGCACTTCAATATAGGCCGGATCACATTCGCATGCACACATACAACTCCGTATGACATATCTGCGCTGCCCCCGCTAAAAGTTTAACTTTTAGTGGGTTAGACGGAAACCACCACTAAACACTCAAAAGGCTAAAAAGCTAAGGGGACGGCTGGGGGCCACCAAGATATGCAGCAAGTGGGGGAGTGGCACCCTTTGAGGCATATCCATTCGATCGAGTATGCCCATCCCTCCTTGGCGTGGCGCACCACCGCTGAGGCACGGGTCTGACCCACCTGGAGGAAAACCGCACAAACTTGGCCCAGACACAAGGGCGACACAGAAATAGTATTGCCTGACTCTGGTCCACATTTAGTCTACCCGAAAGTATCAACTGGCTGTGGGTCAAAACAAATCTCTTCCCCCTATTAATGAATGACCCCAATTAATAAAAATGGGAATCCGGGGCCCGGGACCAGATTTCCACTCCGCACAATTGATTTTTAATTGCGCCAATACTAAACCAATACTAAAGTCTTGGAATCCTTGTTAGGGGGCACTTTTAACAAGCTTCCAGCCCCAATTTTTAAGCTGCGACTGTCTCTCCCCCGTACATGCTGGCTAACCTGCCTGGCTGCAAACAAACAACCAGTAAACTGAAAAACAAATAGAATGATACACAACATGTCCTTATCAAACCGCTTACTCGCGGACCTTACAATTTAATCCATTTCCTCCAAATCCTATGTGACCCCTCACATTGTTGGAAAAACCCCAACCCCAAAAACCCCAATAAAACAAATACATTTTTGGGAGGATTTATTTATAATAGGGGAGGGGGGGCGTATTTATTAATAGGGGGAAGATATTAATGGTATATTTTGGGGTAGGTGCACCACCCATATTAGGCTATCTTAGTGGGGATTGGCATGTTCACTGGGGGTACGGGCTTTTGACCCATGGCCAACTATGTTTGGAGGAGAAGACGAAATACGGATCAAGACAATTCAAGTAAAGAGTATGCCCAAAGTGCTATGGCGGCACCGGAAGCTTCACTCGCACAACCTGTTTTGCCTTGAGCCAAAATGTACAAGTCATCCAAGGCGAACTGACTGTTTCTCATCAGTGTCAACCCTGGAAACTTGATTCAAAGGAAAGTTCAAGCAAACATGAATTCCGGGGGCAAGGTTGAATTAGACATGCATGCACCACCTACCATCAGGAAAATGTGGATTCCAGCAGGGGGCATTCTTCTCCCCCTTCTCACACTCGGAAAGTGTCCTACGCAGATTCCAGTTTAGTTATTTAACTATCTGGCCTACGCCTACGGGTCTCGGAGCGTTTCCGCTTCACGAGATGGCACTTTGCAAGTTGAGCTTAAGGATGCCATGTTAAGTAGGTCTAGTGCATGGTCCCACTTGCACACCGGCAATGGTTTTGTAAACACATCTGCTCTTTGCTTGTCCGTTGCTATGTACAGGAGTTTGCAACTTGGATCTTCGAAGACCTCATAAGCTGAACCTAGTTCGATCTTCTCCGTCTTCGTGAGGTGTCGCAATTTGGGGCTATAACCTGCAGCCACGATCTGGATTACAGCTGAGTTGTCCTGAAAGCACTCTAGCGTGACCTGACGGTCCAAGATCAATTCCAGGAAGCCTTGTGCTGGCAATGCTTCGCCAAAAAGGCCTGATCCTAGTGAGATCATCTCTGCTGCTGTTGTGCTCCTGGCAGTCGCGGTTTGGCGTTTACTGCCCCACGCGATTGGCCACAAGGTGTTAGGGCCCTCAATGGACAAGAACATGCCACTCGTGCTTCTTGTGTGTTCGATGCCACTACAGTGGTCCGCATCTGTGTACAAGCACAGCTTGAGCAGCTCTGGCGGGTCGCCTATATGTCCTTGTAAAGTATACCCTTTTGACCCATACAGGTAGCACATTAGCCTATGGAGCCGTTTATCATCTGCTCGGCTCCAAGTGGTAATCCTACGTGTCAAATCCCCTATCCCTTTCATTAGGTCGGGTCGGCTTAGCCTAGCGCACCAGAGGATTTTCATCAAGATTTTGCATGCAGAAGTTGCCAAAACCCCTTTACTTTCAAAGTCAGCGGTTGTAAGGCTACCTTCTGGGCAGAAAGGACTTTTAGCTGTGCTCAACTTACATTGAGCCAAGTCCTCATACACTGCACATGCATTCTCGATGAAGTCGAACATTTCGAGCGAAACCTTGGTCGATCCATTGGTCCGGTCGAATTTATGCTGTCTGCCCAGCACACGTTCAACTTGAGTTGGAGGTTCGATCTCCAAATGCTTTTCGATTTCCTGCCAAAACTTGTTTTGTTCTGACGACGGCCCTGAGCACAGAATGTCGTCGACGTAGCAGGTTACAAGAAGCTTCCTTTGTGGAAACCAAAATGAAGATGGAAATTCATCAACATGTTGACCTTCCAAAAGTTTCATCACTTCCCTTAGCCTTTGATCCCAATGGTATCCTGATTCGGGATGGCCATAAAGGCTCCTGACCAACCTCACACACGGCTGTTTGAAGTGCCGGTATTCTGGAGGAGTCAATTCCCAAGGCAAGATCACCCATGTGGGCACCTTTGTCCCAAGGTACGCTTGGGTGTAGGCTTTTACTACGTCTGATTGACGAGTTTCGTGACCCTTGATGGCGCCGTATGCTAGATTGATGTTGACACCTGTCATTCCGGTCGGAGTGACTTTTGCTTCTTGGAGCACCGCAAGATTGTTGTCTTCCGTGAGGATGTGATCCCCTCGGAAAACTATCCTGGCCTTGAGTTTACGGAGTTCTGGGGTTTCCCAATGCTTTATCGACAAGATGGTCATTAGAGAAGCAATGTTGATATGCTCCTTGTTCCTTTTACATCTTGCCAAAAGGTCCTCTTTTGAGATTACCTCATCGAAAGTCCAGGTTCCGTTAGCTACTAGCCCATTCACTTCATTGTCAATGGCGTCTTGCGCTCCAGGGAAGTTACCCCATTCTTTCCTCTCCAACAACTTGTGGATGCCAGCAAACACATGTTCTACTCCTGGCAGCTCCTGATGACCTGCCTCGTTCTCCGGGGCGTGGTCACCACACAGGAACTCTTGCACGGAGTTTGGCCCAGCTGACACTTGCACAGGCATTGCAGGCGGTGCGTCAATCCAGGGATACAAGGACTGAGAAATGCACCTCGCCATAGGCATCGGGTAAAAGGCACTTCTAGGTGTCTTACTGCCTGCAAGAGGTGAATGCTTATAGTCACGCGGATGTTGGCACTTGGCACTGTCTAGGTTTTTAGCCAACCTCCATGAAGAGGTTATAACTCTCCACGTCTTGAGGTGACATTTACCTTCTTGGTCACAGAGTCCAAATGCACAACCTTGAGGTTCCGCTACGAACAAGTCATGCCTCTTGACAAACCTGATCAGCTCTGGCAAGTCCCATCCGGCACATGTCTTTGGCCACTCGAAGGCAATGTGGCCCCCTTGACTGAGGACTTTGTCTGCACAACGAATGTAGTTTGCTAAAATTTTTCTAGAATGCTTGCGCATTTTCTTGAGTTTCTTAGCAAACGGTTTTCCGTATTGATGGAGATTTACATTCTGCCATTGCGACCAGGGGCCGCAAGGAATCGATCCCCACAAATCACACCCGGGAAATTGTTCTATGACCTTCAAAAGACTGTCATTTTCCCACTGGCTTGACATGTCAGAGTTCTTTGTTGTGAGTCGGAAATGGTTGATTCCTCTTTCTTCGTTGATCTGACCCAACGTTGAGTTCTCATCGCAACAAAACTCAAAGAGTGTCGGATTCGCCGATCGACCTTTGCGGTCTTCACGTGCAGGCTTGACCAAGTCCTTAGTGAGTTCAAGGATTTCTCTGGCCTTCCTAGTTCGTGCTTGGCTGTCACCGGCTTGCTCGATGAACCTTTGCATAGCTCTGAGATTACCGTCTGAAGGGTTGGCTGCGGCTGCACACAGTTGCGCTTGATCTGGCGACACACGTCCTTTCGGAAAGAACCACGTCTTACCAAACCAACTTTTGGATGAAATCCTTTGATACGGAGTCTCTTGCCAGCTGTCCCTATGCACGGAAACCTTCCCCTTGCATCTCCACTCGGTGATGCGTTCCGGTTCAACCTCGTTGGAGTCGAAAGGACAATCCTTACCCACTGGTGCAAATAGCCTTTTTCTAGGTCTTAAATGCACTAGTACCCATGCGTGCCTTGCTTCATCAAACTCCCAATAATCCTTGGTTTCGGAGTTGTCCTTAACCAAAGACTTTGCCCCCTTGACGTCTGATCTTGGCCCTTTGTTTTTAGAGTCTTGAAAAGAACAGTTGTGACAAGAGTCGACGGCGGTGGTACCAGGAGCATCGGTTGCTTCACTGGCCCTTTGGGTTAGCGTGATGATTGCTGCTGGAGTGGGCGGAACTGGTGTCGAAGGTGCTGGGCCAGATCCAGGAGTTCGAGGTACCGGTGTACCCCGTGAAGCAGGAGTCGGAGGCATCGGTATCCCCCTTGCTGCTGCTTCTTCCCGGGCCTTAGCCTTGGCCTCCTGTGCCAGCCTCTCATCCTCGAGGAGAACACGGAATCTGTCGTGACATGCATCGGAGTGCGGTACTCCTTCCGAGATCCTTTCACACCCTTTGCAACCCGGGGTTCTACCAAATTTGATGGCCCTCTCCAACGTCACATAGGTTCGTTTTCTCCTAGGGACAGGATCTGGGACTTCATCGTCAAATGGCAAAGCCTTCCTGGTTGAAATGGATGTTGGGGTTGATTTCGCACTGAACAGCTGAAGCCTTTGTTGCTCTGCCTCAAAAAGAGGGAAAACCCAATGTCCATTTGAAGGTTCGACCAATTCTGTTTCGTAAACTTGGATTGGCTTACCACAACCTTGAGTGTTTTTGCGAAGCGACTCAAAGTCTAGGACGAGGTGTATGCCCCTAAATTTGTACCCTGCGTCAATCCTCCAGCCAACGAATATGCCGGGGTATGTCCTCGGCTCGAAGTCCGGAAGCTCTCGATGCTTGGGCGGCTTGTAAAACACCAGGCAACCAAACGGCAGCTTCAAACCTGTGAAGGCGTCACCGCCGCTCGCGGCTTCGTATGCGTTCTGAGTGGCTTTGAGATTCTTGACATCCTCCGAATCATTTGGATGGATTGCCGCATTTGTTGACACGGCTAATGCGGTGCACACGTACTCGACACTTCTTGGCCAAAACTGGTGAGGCAAACCAGATTTCAACTGAACAGCTCTAGCGGCTTCCTTAATGCTCCTGATCTTCCTTTCCGT